AATTCGGGCCTTAATTATAACTACAAGCCCAAATACAATTATCTAATAACAAAGGGTCCAAATGCAATCTCGCAACAATATTTAACAAATCTGCCTCAACTTCAAAAAATCATAAAAAAATTGAAATCAATTTCAAATTTGGTGATCCATATATGCATTTTGAAGCCCTAGATGTGTAAAATCTAATACAACTGGAATCAGCAAAAAATGATATCTGTAAAAAAAGTTATAGCTAAAAGAGTAGTTAAAAGTCAAAATTAACAAAAAAATACTAAATTAAAGTAATAGGTCCAAATTATTCCAATAAATAGAAAATAGTAAAAACTCTAAAAACAAAGTATATTAAAAGTGTTTATAAACTAAAATAAAACTATAATTATAAACCTAAAACATGTCACATCAGAGAGTTTAAATTCAAAGACTTTCGAGATTAATAAAGCATATATTGTTAAATTAGATTGGAAAATTTGAATAATTCTACTCTTCTAGAGGCAAAAATTTTGAATTCTAAGTATAAATTTGATTTTAATTGCATAATTGATTACAAAAAAAATTATTCTACTAAGTGGAAAGATATTGTGCAGGTTTGAGATATTACTAATTGAAGTTTGTTAGAATTATTGCAAATGGGTTAAAAGTTAAATTCTAACATGACTTTTGGATTCTTGATGTTACTTGCTTAGCTCAATTTGTTAATTTTATTATTCTTGAATAGTTAATTGATCTTTCTATTATTTGTTTTTGTTAAAAATGCTCATTGAAATTGGGATAAAACTAAACTTTATGTTCTCAAATAAGTTTGTCATTTTATTACCAATATTATCTCTCATAAGTTCAATATTGATAATGATACAGTTAGTTAATTTTTCTCTTGTAAAATAAAGTCCTCCCTAAATTTGTTTTTGAGTTATTAGTGAAATTTGATTTTGAATTTATTATCTCAAATCTTATTTTAAAAATAATTTAAAATTAGTCTAATCTTTAAAAATTTCATATTTTTCTTTAAAAAATTACTCATAATAAATTATTTATTTTATGAAAAAACTTAAAAAATATTTATCTATTAGTCATGTTTGTCCTGTTTGCAACTCTGTTATGAAACTATCATCAATATTTTTAGAGATTATCATATGACAAATAACTTTTAAGACTCTCTTATTAAAGATAACAATTAGAGTACTTTTTTAGTCTTAGTTTTAGTAAATAGCTTATGTTTAATTTATTAGATTAATTAATTAGTTTTGTTTGTTTTATTAAACTATTTAGTCTCTTTCTATAACAAATAACAAATTAAATAAACTATAAAGATTAACATATTAATTAAACCATTTTTAAAATATTTAATTCTTTTGGAACAGTGCCAATAATTCTTTTTAACTTTAAAAAAATTATATGAAAATTCATTATCAATTTACTAAATATATATTTTTAGAAATATTAATAATAATTAAGTATATTTTAATTTTTTTAATTTCTAGTCTAAAACAAAATTATTTGTATTTTCTTTATAAACTTTGATTGTGTGGAAACAATCTTGTAGGAAGCAAATAGAATTATCAAAATAGTGTATAAATATCTCAACTAGATTTTATTTTATTTTTAGTTAAAGACAGATAATTTAGAAAGTACACCGCATGCTGACTTTGGTTGTACGACACTGCAAGAGACTTAAACAGTAGCCGCCCGTCTCGTGGCCCACAAATCTGCAAGTTGCGTGCCCTTACGTTACGTCTACCTCAAATCTGTGATAATTGAATTGAGAAGTTTTATATAAAATTATTTGTTTTTAATGAGAAGCTCGGTAAATTAGGGTTTTTTCTTTGTTCTATTCCAAGGTCTCTCTTTATTTACACTTTGTTTGTTTACAAGTTTAAAAATAATATTTGAATATTTTCATAAAAAATAGTTTAAATTAAATTAAATTTTATAGATACATATATATATATATAATTATTTAAATTTAAATTAAATATAAAAATAGTTCCTACATTATTTGTATTTGTATTTTTAGTTCTTATAAGTTTTTATATTTATATCTTTAAAATTTTCAAAATTTTTAATTTAATTATTTTTCTTAATAAATATCGAATACAACAAATAAAATGTTAGATTTAAACATAAAAATGATAGATACTTACATTTATTCATATTTTTGTTTTTATTCCTTACTTGTTTTTCTTTATATTTTACATATAAAACTCAATTTCTTTTATAATAACAATATTTTACATTTAATAAATCTAGCAAAATCTTAGATGTCAACGTCGCACCAAGGGTAGCCAGTAAGTCGAACCCACGCTTTCACAGTTTTAAGACAAAGATTCCCATCACCATATCAATAATTGGTTATTCATCAGTTTTTATCCCATTAATTTCTTTTTGTAAATAATATTTTATTTGTTAAGTATTTTTCTGAAATTTAATTTTAAAAGGCAAAAATAAAATATTTAATGAATTTTTATTTAAAATTTTTAAATATAACAAAAAAATTAATAAACTCTTTAAAACTTTACTTAAAATTATGTTTTTAAACTTTCTAAAATTAATTTTTTTAGCACCATTTTCTTTCTCTTCTTCTTTCATCCTTTTTTTTTCAATATTTTTTTCTCTCTAAATTCTTAAATACGGTTTAATGATTTTTTTTTAAGAATTATATTTTTTGATGGTGTTAAAAATATACATTTAGCATGCCTAAAATACTTTTGAAAATATTACATAATAATTTTTTAAGTTATTTTTGTCTTGTATTTAGTTTTAACATTATTTCTTACAAATATTAATATTTTTAAAAATATCTATTTACTTACTGTGATAACTGATAAATTTTATATACACTACGAATTGAATTTATGTTTATTTAAAATTTTAAAAGTAAATGAAAGTTTAAAATAAAAACTAAAACAAGAAATTTATAATATAAAAATGTATGCATGTATTTATATGTTATAAGATAAAATTATATAAAAATAATAATTTTATAGATAACAACAATAATATTTGATATTGTCACTTAAGTTGATTGATGAACGGTAAAAGTTACAAATTTACAATCAAAATAATTTTTTAATTCATTTTTTATGATATTAGAGAAATAACAAGAGTTTTAGATAAACAACAATATAATAGAGAAATAACATAAATCTAAAATTGAAAATAATAAAAGATATAACTGTATTTTTATATTATAAATAATTTTCATTTTCATGAAAATTTTAGATTCTCACTTGCCTTGTAAGAATGTTTTTATGAAAATTTAATTAAAAACTATATTTGAGAATGTTAATTTATTAAAAATATTTGTTTAAATATTCGTACTAAACATATAAATTTAATATTTTCAACTTAGGAAGGAAGTTGAATATAAATTTTACTTCTTTTTAAACTCTTCATGTACTTCAAAACAAAGTTATATTTAAGTAATTGTTAGATTAGGTGTAATAGACAATTAACTTATTAAAACTTATAAAGTTTTATTACTCAATTTAACATACTTTTATGTGTTAGTATATACAACATAGAATAAAAGGGAGATAATAAAAATATAAACAACACATTTATATTTGTTTATGCGATATACTTAAAGCTATGTCAAATAATTGTTACTCATAACAAGATTTTTCATTATTATTTAACTCTTTTTACTTAGTATTATTTGTTCACTTATTATTTTTCATGTTCAAATTCAAGTATTATTTGTACACTTAACTTCTTCATACTCAAAATTAAGTATTATTAATTACACATATAGTTTTTTAAGAGTCAAATACAAATATTCTTTCGAATTATTTTTGATGATATGCTCCCAAAATACAATCGAAATAAAATTTAATGTTATTTAAGAAATTGAATGATTCACTATTTGATAGCTTAATACATTTGAATATTGAGATTGAAATGCTATTGTTCTTATTTTTATTTAATGCATAAACTTGTAAATATAAAGACTAAAAGCATGTTTGATTTTGGTTTTTAAAACTTGTATTAGAATTAATTTTTAAAAATAGAAAACTGTTTTAAAAACTGAAATCAAACATACTCTAATTTCCTTTTTTCTATTTTTTTTTTTTTACTTTCCATTGATAGCATTAGCTTCTGTGTAAGGAAATCTTATCAACTTTTGTGTGCTAGCATAAAAATGGTTGTAAGTTAAATTGATAACTATTGTAACTCTTGAAAAACAAAGGGTCATCAGATTGTCTTCTAATGGTTCAATAAATAGTCTTTTAATGATGTAACAAATAATCTTTTGGTATGAAGTTTAGTATTTAAAAAAACACTTTCTTTAGTACTCTTAATCTCATCTATTATTTTCTTTATTATTTTTAGTCTCATCTAATACTTTAATCTTAACTTACTTTTACGTAAATGACTTTATTTATATTTAAATTGTATGTAGCCTTTAAAAAGTAAATATTTGAAAGTAACTTTTTCATCATTATATATATAATAAAATAAAAATAAAACTATCATATATTTAATATATTTTTATTTTTAAATTTAAATAAAAAATCAATTTATTAAAAAAAATATTAAAATTACGTTTAATTGAATTTGTTTAATTTATTATTCATATATAAAATTGTTTTGCTTACTTATGTTTTTAATTCTATAAAAATTAGTATTTTTAAAATATATTTTTATGATATATAATTTAAATTAAATATATACTTTTTAATTGGTCTCTTTAAATATTATAATTTTTTATTCAATACTTTTTAATACAGTTTTTTATTTAGTCTTCTTAAAATAAAAGATTACAATGAAAATTTATAATTTATAAAAATCTAAATAAAAATATTATAATAATCTTTTAAAGAAAATATAAGTTAAAAACTACAAATATTTTAGAAAATAAAAACAAAAATTTAATAAAGTCAAATTTTTTATATTAATTTTCTCGCCACCCTAGGGAAACGAAATGTGAAGCTTTGAAAAGTCTCAAGTTCTTTCTGCGCTGGGAAAGCTAACACGCGCTTAAATTAAACTCCTCAGTCCCCACTCTCGCTCTATAAATATACACACCGCAGTTAAAACCGTAGTCTAGTCCACAAAACACACTCTTCAGACGCTGTCGTTTGACTAAAAGCAACCACCGAAACCAAATCAACCAACCATGTCGCTGCCACCTTGCTCCCGGGAGCAACTGGCCCAGTTCTTGGGCCCAAACACAACAAACGCCGCCGCTGCAGCAGCCGCAATATGCGACCAATTCACCGCCGTAAGCCACAAGTTCACCGACACAGCCTTCGCCGTTGACAACACCTACCTTCTCTTCTCGGCGTACCTTGTGTTCTCTATGCAGCTCGGCTTCGCCATGCTCTGCGCCGGCTCGGTCCGCGCCAAGAACACTATGAACATCATGCTTACCAACGTCCTCGACGCCGCCGCCGGTGGGCTCTTCTACTACCTCTTCGGCTTCGCCTTCGCGTTCGGCGCACCCTCCAACGGCTTCATCGGCAAACACTTCTTCGGCCTCAAGGACGTTCCCACCGAAACCATCGACTACAGCTACTTCCTCTACCAGTGGGCGTTCGCCATAGCCGCCGCCGGCATCACAAGCGGCTCCATCGCCGAACGCACGCAGTTCGTGGCTTACCTCATCTACTCCTCCTTCCTCACCGGCTTCGTCTACCCCGTCGTGTCTCACTGGTTCTGGTCCGGCGATGGTTGGGCCTCCGCGACAAACACTGGCAACCTCCTCTTCTCCTCCGGCGTCATCGACTTCGCCGGCTCCGGCGTCGTCCACATGGTCGGCGGCGTGGCGGGTCTTTGGGGAGCCTTAATTGAAGGTCCTAGAATCGGAAGGTTCGACCATAATGGTCGAAGCGTTGCATTACGTGGCCACAGCGCTTCTTTAGTTGTGCTTGGAACCTTCATGCTTTGGTTCGGTTGGTACGGTTTTAACCCTGGCTCGTTCACCAAGATTCTCAGCGCTTATAGTTCTGGAAACTATTATGGTCAATGGAGCGCTGTGGGAAGAACCGCTGTCACAACAACTTTGGCTGGGTCAACGGCAGCTTTGACCACGCTCTTCGGGAAACGGGTTATATCCGGTCATTGGAATGTTACCGATGTGTGCAACGGTTTGTTAGGCGGTTTCGCTGCTATAACTGCCGGTTGTTCGGTTGTGGAGCCGTGGGCTGCAATCGTGTGCGGGTTCGTTGCTGCGCTGGTTTTGATTGCGTGTAATAAGTTGGCTGAGACGGTGCGTTATGATGATCCATTGGAGGCGGCGCAGTTGCACGGAGGGTGCGGCGCGTGGGGGGTGATATTCACGGCGCTGTTTGCGAAGGAGGAGTACGTGAACCAGGTTTACCCGGGTAAAGCGGGTCGACCCTATGGGTTGTTTATGGGTGGAGGAGGGAAGTTGTTGGCGGCGCACGTGATTCAGGTTTTGGTTATTACTGGGTGGGTTAGTGCAACGATGGGGCCCTTGTTTTGGGCTTTGCATAAGATGAAGTTGCTTCGGATCTCGGCGGAGGATGAACTTGCGGGTATGGATCTGACCCGACATGGTGGGTTTGCTTATGCTTATGAGGATGATGAGCACAAGCATGGGACTCAGTTGAGGAGGATTGAGCCTAACTCCTCTTCCACTCCCACCACAGATGGTTGATCATATCATATCTTTTCTTTTCTTTTTTCTTTTCCTTCTTTCTACCCCTCACCGATGGGTTTTGCAACTTTTTACTGGTCGTACATGGTTGAATTGTAAAAGTACAATTTTCTATTGAAAGATCCACGTTCAGGGTTTGGTGGGGTTGTTGTTGACTAAAGGCGCGTTGCCTTTGGACTTCTCACATTGACAAATGACAGTGAAGCGAAGCTATTTCATCTTTGTTTTTTCTTTTCTTTCTTTCTTTCACTCTAATGGAAGGAAGAACCATGGTTTAATATATTGCATGATCCCGAGGCACGACGGATGTACTTTTTGTTTTTATCTTTTACGAATTTGTGTATAATTATGCAAGTTTTTATTATTATTATTATTATTGCTTCAGAGTGTCTTTACTCCTGCAATTAAAAATATTATATATATATATTTATTTAAAATTCAAATATATGGATAAATCATTGTTTGATATATATGTAACTTCCTTTTTTACGTAATTATTTATTTTTCTTATATTGAATTTTCTAGGATTTAATTAAAATATACTGGTAGTGTGCTTATTTTTTTAACATCCGTTTAATGACACGTGAAAAAGGAAAATTTACAAAAATAAAATATTTTAAATATAAAATTACTTGTATGTCTCAAAATTATTATTATTTTTACATAAATATTCTAATTTTAATTGCATAGAAGTCAATTAAAATAGTTTTCACATACAAATACAGAAGTTGTAATGCAATTTTCACGTATTATGCATATCTTACCCATATAATTTATTTAGATTTCTTTCCTAAATTAAAGAAAAATAATAATTTTAATTAAATTTGTTAATATTTTTGTATAATAATTTTATAAATTATTAAATGATATTACTATAAAAATAATATTATAAAAGACATAAAATATAAATTTTAAATTGCATAAAATTCAAATTCTAAATTACATGAAATTAAAATTTTAAAGTACATAAAATTAAAATTTCAAAATACATAGCCTATAAAATATGTAAATCACCATCAGCATATGTGACTATGGGCCACGTCTATTAAGTCTGGACGCAGCAAGGTGACTTCTTGTTGCACAAAGACGATATATAATTTGTCGTACAGGTTTATGATGTGCATGTACTGGTCATCCATATTTTGCTGTTGGACAGGTGTGTGATGCTCCTCTTGCTTCAGTGAACCATTAAAGGAGGGAGTTCAGATGTGTTGGTGATGGTCGATATAGATTATCTGGTGGTGGCATATATCTGCTTGTATCGGTCGAATTTAGCCAAGTCATAACTTTAGTATCTGACATGAAAGGTGGACTGAAAGATATATGTCGTGCAATATCACCATAGACTAGACTTGTGACAAAATGTTGTATAGGACTTGGAGTAAACTCAGAATCTAACATAAACTGATGACTAGGGCTTACCATAAAATGCTAGCTAAGAGTCATACATGGTTGGCTAGGGTCCGGCATGAACTGGTGTTGAGAAGGATTAGCCATATACTGTTGTTGGCTAAGAACTGACATGAAGTGGTGGCTAGGGTATGTGAATGTCGGGTGGTATACGTAGTGTGAGGTATGCTATACAGTTGGATTTACATCAGGTGCCACGATGTTGGCTGGTATATGGGCCTCATCACGGAACGACGCATGAAAGAGCGTCTATCTGGAATGTCATCAGGATATGTGATTTCAGGTGTTGGGGCATGTAGTGGTATACCATCAGGTAAGTCCCTAAGCTTTGCACCCTGTGGGACTCCATCCAACGACAAAAATCTATTAGCGACTGACAAGTACCACTGAAAGTACTCGACAGAGGAACGATCATCATCAGTTAGAGGATATGGAACTCGTCGCTCCCTACGTGCCTCCCATGCAGCATGCCATGTCACATGATAATCAGGCCACCATATATCTAGATCACCCTTCCCATCCTTAGCGTGCAACCGATCAATATTTATCGGACTGATTGGTATGTGTTGTGCTCTACCAAATTGTCGAACTACGCAATCAATAGGGTGTCACTCAATCATAGTAAATTGTATAAGAACAGTCACATATGCCCAAACATCAGTCTCATCATACACGAAAGGAGGTGTAATGTTCCTGACCTCATTGTTGCTGTAGGGCATCCACCTAAACTGAAATAATAAATAACAAAAGTTAGCAGTAGACACCATATTTGAACTTATCCCAGTAATGCTAATTGAATCAATGATCCTCATATATTATGATAACTTATACGTATATGATCTTGTTGATGACCTAAAACTTTTCCACTTGAAATGAGAATAATTAGTTTTTAAAATATATAAATAACAAAAATTAATATGTTGATAAATAAATTTACCTCAATGCTAGTGAAAAAGTGAAAGATTGATGGTACCTAGGGGCTAACTGAGGTATTCTGTATCATGCCCAAAACTGTAAGAGATGCAAATAACCTGCAATTTTAGTGATATTGTATTTCATCGCACGACAAAACTCATGATAAAGGGATGCTAGAACAGCAGAATCCTAACTATAGTTTGAAATCTTAGTAAAATCAGTTAAAAAAGGTAGTCACTTCATATGAACCCTAAATCCTGATTTATCTGGAAAAAATACCCCACCAAATAGAACTATTATGTACGCTCTAATGTAACGAATAATAGTTTGTCCATCAGCATTGTGAGGTAATGCTCCAAATATATCTGTAAACCATTGTAGATTTACGAAAAATCCCTTTATGTTTCTCTCATCAGGAACTACTCCAAGTAAATCTTCACATAATGCCTATATATTCCAATCATAAAATTTCTCCCACGTTCCAATGCAACCACTCACAGGGACTCCATTCACACGTAAGCCCACCTGAAACACAACATCCTTCAAAGTGATTGTACATTCTTTGTATGGAAGATGAAATGTGTGTGACTCTGGCCTAACCGTTCTACAAGTGCACTTATCAGTGCCCTATCATAATCAATTACTGGAACCATCTGTGTAACATGCCAAAAACTAGTCTCCTTAAGAAATGGTTTCATTCTTGAATCTAGAGTAACCATCATATTATAACACCTACTTTTTAAAATTCGAGCTTCCTGTACAATAACAAAATAGTATATACAAGATTTAAATGAAAAAATTTATAACAATATTATATAATTATGAATTACTACAATACAAAATTAAATTATCATAATAATTAAAAATACATAATAGAATTTTATTTACATTCCTCAATATAATAATTATAATTATAACAAATAATTAAAATTAATTTATAATATAATAATTATTAACATTTACACATTTTTCTAAACATATAATTACAGAATTAATAATATATTAAATTAAATACATAAATAATTAATTATAATTTAACTAAATATATTTAAAAATTAATTTACCTGTGTTAACAACTTGCTTACAATATGATCAATAAAATTAAGCTGATATAGATCGTTATCCATCTTCCTCCGTCGCCTCTGTTGTTCTCTGGTGTCACTCTCTCTAATCTCCTTTTTTTCTCTAGTCTCAGTTCTCTCTCTAGTCTCTTCTCTTTGGTCTCGGCTCTCTCTCATTTGGGATATATAGTAGTCGATTATACTTGTCTTTGAAATGATACTAAAGTCAATTTTAATCGTTTTACTTTTAGTATGCAAGTCGGCTTAAATCAACGTCTTTGGATCCAAAAACCAGCAACAAAAATCGACTTCAACAGTGCAGGAAAGTCGACTTTAATTGACTTCAATAGTGCATGAAAGTCGACTTCAATGGTGCATGAAAGTCGACTTCAATCGACTTCTTTGAAGCAACATGGACAAAATGAAAGTCGATTTAAGGTGGTTCTGGAGGAAATCAATTTTAATCGATTTCAATTTACATTCAGGACATTTGCGTAAAACAAAATTTCCAGGACACATGCGTAATTTCATATTCAAAAAGTTTTATTTCTGTAAAAAAAGCCCGTAAAAAATTAATAAATAATAAAATTTTGTCAAAAATATGATGAATTGTTATTAGTGCATTTTATTTTGTGATTTTTTTTATAAAAATTAATTACAGTGTAAAGCTTTTATTGGAATATGGCTACTTTACTCCCTAATTTTGTAATTATTTTTCAGTTTCTTCCTTAAGAAAAATGTTACTTGTAAATGTTGAAAATCAATTATTATGTTGAAAATTTTATCAAAGTAGTACATATTACAATTAAAAGTTAATAACACTTAACAAAAGTGTTCATGTGGCATGTTAAATACAAATTTGATACGTTAGTTATCAATATATTGGATCAGTAATAGAGGTTAGACATTAACAAAAGTTTAAGGCAAATAAAGGAGAAGATGATAACTTTAAGATTATGTGAGAGGGGATGTATTTGACATAAATTTAATAATTATCCCTTGAAAAGTCACACACTGTCTTTTTGTGATGTATCAAATTAAAATTTAGCATCCCAAATAAGCAATTTTATTATTTTTTATTAAGGTTGACAAATTGTAAGGAACAGCTCTGAATATATCAAATTGATATGAAGGCTTGTTTATCATGGTATCTGTGGGCATGTGGAAACTGTAGTGTTACGTATAAGTAATGTAACTGAAAAGGTGATGTCTATATTGTATATGCTTTCGGGGTGTCTGAGCTAATTACCGAATATACTGTGTATTCCCTTTTCTCTGCTGAAAGACTGATGCCAAACAGTGGAAATTAGAATGTTTTCCGGCAATTGTCAAAATTGGAGTTCAAAATTCGAATACCATTTTTTTTAACATGTGTAATACTGTAAATTAATAAATATTTATATATAGTAGATTTTACTAAAAATTATAAAATTTAATACATACTAATACTATTAAATACTATAATTTTTTTTATTGAAATTTATTATTATATGAAATATTTCACATAATGGATACAAGCTAACATATCAATATAGAGATATTTTACTTTGAAATGAAAGCACGGCATTATTAATGAGATTGCATGAATCACGGAATTCCAACCACACTGGTTGTTGAGTGCCTTTACATTCGTAGGACGATAAGCTTTTGACATTACAAGAATCTCTGATTGGCTTCCCACATTTGAATTGTTCTTATAAACAACTATCTTTAGGATGACGTTGACAATGATGTTCAGCTCACTGATTGATTCATAGAAGGACTACTCAATTGGGTTCTCTTGAGTGACCTAAACAAAAACAAAATGGAGAAACAAAACAATAGAAAGAGAGGGGATAAACACCGATTCAGAAACTCCACAGCATTCCATGTTTCACAGCAAGCTGTTGGACATTCCTTTTAGTTACTTTCAACTAAATGTTAGGTAAATGAATAAATCTTATGTCATAAGTTATTGAATTAAAGAAAAATCTTAAACCACTATTTCTTTTATTTGTTTCCTTATTTGTATTTTTTTTAAATCTAAATTACAAATAATTTTCTATGAAGACAAATTTTGTTTGACTTGGAAACATTCACAATATGTTAGTTACGGCTCCTCCTTCTCTTTTAGACACAACACACACACAAAACTTATGATAAAAAATTGATAAATAAGAAAGGAAAATATTTTAAAACAGATATCTATTTAAGTGAATGAGTGATTGAATCAAATCAATTAATTGTTTATAATGCATGTATAAATTTTTTTAAAACAAATACAAAATA